TGTGTGTGTGTGTGTGTGTGTGTGTGTGTGTGTGTGTGTGTGTGTGTAAGAGCCTCACTAGGGGATTCCAGAGAGTTTCACACAGATGAGCTTAGGAAGGAAGGTCACTGTGGCCTAGGCACGGAGGAGAGGGAAGAGAGCCAAATCCAGGGAGATATTTCCATGGTCATGAGGCAAAGGCCCCAGCTGGGTGGAAAACATGCCCTTGGAAGGGCTGGAATGATGCTGGGTGGGAGAGAATGAGTGGAAAGAACCTACATTTGGGGAATGCTGGGATTTCCTGAGATAATGGCTACCCCTTAGGGAGAAATCAGGAGACCGGGGTCCCTGCTCCAGTTACACTGCTCTCTGGTGCGTGACTCTGGGCAAACGGCTGAACCCGTTTCCCCATTTGTACCATGGGATAACCAGCTCCACTATGTAGGGAGGCCAAAACAAACAAACAAACAAACAACAGATAGTAATATGCCTTCACAGGTCAGAATGTGAGTCCCTTGAGGACAGCTGCTGTGGTTTTTTGCCTTTATTTGTATCACCAGCACTTAATGCCGTGCCTGCCACATAGTAGGTGCTTAATAATTTTTTTTTTTTTGGCCTGACTTAGGAGGAAGGATGCTAGAGAAATTCACACAGAGTTAAAAACACAGCTCATGGCTGTAGACAGTGCCTTGTGGTTATAGAACACTTTACCTTTTCCCCTCATTTGATTCTTATAACAACTTTTCACCATAATATCAGTCCCATTTTACAGGTAAGGAAACTGAGGCTCAGATTAAGCAAATTTCCCAAAGTCACACAGCTGCTAAATGGCAAAGCCAGGACTAGAATTCTGGATTTTTGATTCCCCCTACTCCCTGCTACACCATGCTGGCTCGAGGATCATAGTTTTTAGATCTAGAAGACACCTCAGACATCATTAAGCCCAACCCCATCATTCTATAGATGAGAAAATTAAATCCCAGAGAGATGTGACTTGCCCAAGACGGCATCAGTAGTAAGGAGCTGAGACAAAATTTAAAACCAGGTCGTCTAATTTCAAACTCGGACATTTTGCATTGTGTGGTGATGTCTTTCCTGATACTCTGTAGTCATGACTCATATTTCTTAACAGATTCAAGTTGAGTAGTTTTGTTTTATTTTGTTTTGTTTGGCTAGATCTGTGATTTTACTGGCATAGGGAAATGCTGGTGAGAAAATTCCCTCTTCCAATGGAGAATGGCAGCTGCTCTGAAGCTTTCAGATTATACTTCCATCTATGTATATGTGTGTGTATATGTATATCTAAGACATAGAACACATGTAACACATGTGTGTATCATGTGTGCATACATGTATGCGTAATGTGTGTGTAACACTATATAGGTGTATGTTGCTCCTCATTCATTGTGTCTGACTCTGTGACCCCATTTGGATTTTCTTGGCAGAGATCCTGGAGCAGTTTGCCCTTTCCTTCTCCAGCTCATTTTACAGATGAGGGGACTCAGACAAACAAAGGTTAAGTGACTTGTTTAGGGTCACACAGCTAGTAAATGTCTGAGGCCACATTTGAACTCAGGTCTTCCTGACTCAAGGCCCAGTGCTTTGTCCACTGTGCCACTATTATTTCTATTATTATATTATACATGATGGTAGTTATTATATATAGTGTGTACAGAACATATAGTATTACATGTATGCTTATATATGATAGTAATTATTATTACTATTATTTCTATTGTTACATAATAGTTATTATAAATAATAGTAGTTATTATATAGTGTATATATAACCTATATAGTGTTACATGTACATTTATATTTGATAGTAGTTATTATTATCACTATTATTTCTATTGTCACTAATAGTTGTTATATATAATAGTTGTTATTATATATAGTGTATATATAAATCATAGTGTTACATATACATATTATAAGTATATGTATACAGTAAAAATGCATACACATCACATATATGTATACATGTGTACATACATTAGAATACTATTATACATATATTATAACACTACAGACACATAAAATGCACATATATGGGTATATAGATATACCCATGTATATATGTATATGTCTGGTGTTCATTTACTTGAGTTATGCCCAAATCTTTGTGTGTATACACACACACACAATACACACATACAAATACATATACACAATAACACGCACACATGTGTGTATGTGTGTGTATTTACAGGTTGCCTCTTCCTCTAGACTGTATGTTCCTTGAGGGCAGGGGCTGGTTTTTTTTTTGTTTTGTTTTTGTGGTCTTTCATTGTAGGCACTTAATAAATGCTTGTTGACTGCCACAGTTTTGCAGAGTTGTCCGGGGGCATTGAGTGGTTAAATGCCCTGGCTAGGGTTATATGACAGAAGCAGGACTTGAACTCAGGTCTTCCTAACTCCTTATCTATTATGCTGTACTGCCTCTCTATCCAGGTTAGTACCTAGGCTTAAACACCTGAGGAGGTCTGGTTTACTTTTGTTAAAAACAAAAGCTTTTGTTTGTATACCTAACATTAAAATGTCTCACTTCTAACACTGTGTTTAATTTTGTTTGGTCGTTTCAGTCATGTATGTTCTTTGTGACCCCATTTGGGGTTTTCTTGGCAAAGATACTACAGTGGTTTGCCATTTCCTTCTCTAGCTCATTTTTACAGATGAGGAAACTGAGGTAAACAGCATTAAATGACTAGCCCAGGGTCACACAGCTAGTAAGTGTCTGAGGCTGGATTTGGACTCGGGCTCTCCTGACTCTAGGGCCAGTGTTCTATCTGCTGTACCACCTAGGTGCCCCATTGTGTTTAACAATAGTTACTTAAACTGGAATTCTAATACATAATATAATAACAGTATTATATAACTTTTTAAAAAATGTTAGTCTACACTTCCTCTGGCTCCACTTCTTCCCAAACTTGCCTCTTAACCTTCTGTCAACTGATTTCTGAAAGCACCATTCAAATGAACCTGCCCTGTCCAAGATAACCAATGACCTCATGACTGTCAAATCCAAGGATCTTTTCTCAGTCCTCATCTTCCTTGACCTTTCTATGTTGTTAATTTCCCTTCTTTCTTGATACCATAACCTCGCTTGGCTCCTGTGACTGCGCTTTTTACTGGTTCTCCTGATCACTCCATCTTGAACACCTTGGCTGGTTTACTAGTGCTTTATAAATGTTTTTTTTGCCTTAACTTGACTCTCTCCCTTCAAGTGGGAGAGATCCCATAAAGCTTTGTCTTTGACCTTCTCTTCTTCCTACATTAGCTTCTTTTGTAATGTCGTCAGCTTTAATGATCACCTCTACGCAGATGACTCTCAGATCCTATATATGCAGCTTCAATTTCTTCCATAGGCACAGATAATCTCCTACCTCAAATTATATGTAGCTTTAGAATGTTATAATATGATGTTTGTTATTATATTGCCTTTTTTTCTTTTTCTTTTCTTTCTTTCTTTCTTTCTTTCTTTCTTTCTTTCTTTTTTTTTTTTTTTTTAGCAGCAGCAGCAGTTAAGGTTCCTCAGGCTGGTATTAAAACAAGACCTTATTGTTGAATGAGGAATCAAGGCAGTATTGTCTAAGCCCATACAGTCCTACTCCAGGGGGAGGCAGCTCCAGAACACCAAGTGGAGAAGCTGATTTAATATTTGCCTGGGCTAATCAAGGCTGACTCAAGAATCTGAGAGCTGGAAGGGACGGTGGATACCATCAAAGTGAACCTCTTCCTTTTACAGATAAGAAAACTAAACGTCATAGAGAAATGACTGTTTTTTAAACCCAAATTGGGAAAATAGACAACACTAGCAGAGAATCCCAAAGATATCTGAGCCAAATCACATGACAACTCATATTTCTATAATGTTTTTTCTCTCTCTCTCTCTTTTTTTTTTTTTAGGCAATTGGGGTTAAGCGACTTGCCCAGGGTCACACAGCTAGTAAGTGTCAAGTGTTTGGTCTGTGGCTGAATTTGAACTCAGGCCCTCCTGACTTCAGGGCCGGTGCTCTATCTACTGCGCCACCTAGCTGCTCCTCTATAATGTTTTAAGGCAGGGGTGGGGAACCTGTGGCCTTCTAGGTCCTCGGGTGCGGCCTTTGACCAAGTTCAAGTTTTACAGAACAAATCCTTTTATTAAGGGGATTTGTTTTGCGAAGTTTGAATTCAGTCCAAGAGCCGCACTTGAGGACCTAGAGGGTCTCATGTGGCCTCGAGGCTGCAGGTTCCCCACCACTGTTTTAAGGCTTATAAAGTTCTTTCCTCACAAAAATCTTGTAAAGTAATAAATGAGAGTATTACCTCTATTTTATAGATTAAAAAACTGCAGCTTAGAAAAATGAAGTCCCAGGATCATAGTAGAGCTTAGAGCGGGAAAGGATCTCGGTGATCCAGTACAACCCCCTATTTTTATTGATGAGGAAAATGAGACCCAGAGATGATAAGTGAAGAGCTGAGACTCCAATGCCAGACTTCTGCCAATTGTTCCATGTTCTTTCTACCATACTACCCTGAGTCACTTATCCTCATGATAGTTAAAGTCTTGCTTATTAAGCTCATAAGGGTAACACTAATACTGGGTCATCCCATAGCTCTTGAGGAAGGTTCATTTGGGGGACCCGTTGTAACACCTTATTTCTGATTAAACAAGCCCTGAGATGGGGGTACCAAACTCTGGGTCATAAGGGTCATACACATTTGCTATTCCCCAACAGATTTCGGGATCATACCTCAGGGACAGTCTGGCTGGGATGGATCCGAATATTGACTGTTGCCTGGGCGGTTGGAGGGATGACATTCACCTGAGGAGAAAAAAAAGGACACATGTACAACACATGTACTATAGTCTGAACCAACTCCAGATCCCTATAGACCCAGACGGGCTCCCTTTACCCAGCTTAACAAAGAATGACTGTGGAGAACTCAGAGAGAGTCTAGACAATGGAAATCTCCCATTAGTCAACTTCCTGGGAAAATCAAGTTATAGAAGGCAGAGGATGTTCCATTTTGTGCTTTGGGTCTGTTTTTCTTCCTACCTTGGGCCTTGGGTTATATAGGTGCTGAGCAAGGGCACACACACTTATTTTCAGGGCTAGAGACGGAATTCAGTGTGAAGTCTGTGAAACAGGTGTCAATGCCTTCCTTTCTCTGGGCCTCAGTTTCCACATCTATCTAATGGGAAGGTCAGACAGATGGCATCCAAGGTCTCTTTCTGGCCTTGTGATTCTGATTCCTGCCTCCTAGTTCTATTTCTAAATCTTCTCTGGGTCTCAAATGAAATTACTGAGAAAGTCTTTCTCTAGACATGGAGTTTTTTCCATTTAGATTCATCATAAACCGAAAGGCCTTTATAGACCAATTGGGTCTACCCCTCATTTTACATAAAAAAGAAATTGGGACTCAGGAATGGGAAGTGATTTATCTAGAGTAAGTTAGTGACAGAGAACACAATCTCTTGACCCCTAGTGGATGGCTCTTTCACAAAATCATCACCTGTTGAAGCTGGAATAAACTTCAGAGATCATTTAATCCAACCTTATTTTATAGGCGGAAACTGAGGCCCAGAGAGAAGTGACTTGTTACAAGGTTGCCCAACTAGCCAATAATAGGGTGAAGAATTGTATTCAAGTCTCAGGTCTCTCAGTCTTGGGCTCTTTCCAATTGATTCATTTGTTTAGTCATATCAGACTCTATGTGACCCCTTTTTTGGGTTTTCTTGGCAAAGATATTGGAGTAGTTTGCCACTTCCTTATCCAGCTCATTCTACAGATGAGGAAACTGAGGCAAACAGGGTTAAGTCTCTTGCTCAGGGTCACATAGCTAGGGGGTTGTCTGAAGGCCAGATCTGAACTCATGTCTTCCTGACTCCAAGCGCAGTGCTCTATCCACTACACTACCTAGCTGCACTTTCCATTTCACCTCAAGGAGACTCTGGGTATTTCAGAGGTATTTAATTTCAAGAAAACCTTGGATAAAATGCCAATGTGTTTCCTGGAAGGGGGTAGTATAGCTGCCCATTGGCATGTCGACATATCAGCATGACTTAGTTTATTATATCAGTCAATGTTAAGTGAGGGAATTGGACATGGGATATGTGACATGGGATGTGTAAGTGTGGATGGGGAAAGAAAGATAGGAAAGGTCTGGAGCTTTGTTGAAGGCTAGGGGTAGGGAGGGAATAGGGTGATATGGCCTGATTTTATAGATGTATATGAACCACAAACTAACAGAGCCACCTCCGTAGACTAATTCTACTTGGCACCAGAGTAATGAACCATGGCCTGTAATGAGTGGAAGCTATAAGTATGTCATTTTCAATTCAATATAAAGGAGTTCCTCACCTTTTGAGCTGTCTAAAGATTGAATGGAGGTAGTGAGCTCCCTGTCATTGAAGATGTTTAAGCAGAGGTTGGATGCCCACTAGCCAGATATGGTGTAGAGTTGGGGTATGGGGCTAGATGACTTCTGAGATAACTTCTAATTCTAAGAGTCCAGATGATTCTGGTACAGTACAAAGAACACTGCATAACAATAATGATGACAATGATAATAATGGTAATAACTGGCATTTATACAGTACTTTAAAATTTACATCCATTTACATTATTAACATCTATTAACTCATTTGATCCTCAAAACAACCCTGTGAAGTAGGTGCTATTATTTTCCCCTTTTACAGATGAGGAGACTGAAGTAGGCAGAGGTTAAATGACTTGCCCACGGTCACACAGCTAGAAAGTGACGAAGGTCAAACTGTGCCTCATTTAAATCCAATTCATGTGCAAGTCAAGACATCACCCCTTCATGTCATTGGTTCTCTTAGGAAACAAAGAATGAAAAACAAGGTCATATTGGAACTCAGGTCTTCCCAACTACAGGCCTAGGGCTCTATCCACTGCACCACCTAGTGGCCAAGGTATAGAAAAGGTCAAAGAGTCTGGCTTCAGATCCCAGGTCTGCCACTTACCTGTGTGAAATTTGGGAAAAGCTATTTAACCAATTCAAGTCACAGTTTCCTTATCTGTAAAATAAGGAGATTGGACTAGATCATCTCTAAGACCCCTTCCAATTCTCAAATTTAGTTTTTCTAATTCTGAATATATGAAAGGAGAGGCCATCTTTTGTGGAAGCAAGGGGATGGACACGATGACCTTTAAAGTGCCTTCCCATTCTGTGATTCTCCCCTGATGATGCTTGTGTCACAGGGAGGTTGCTGATGGCTTTTTGTGAGGATTGCTTAATCCAGTTCTGAAGAGATTGCTTTCCCTGGAAAAGGCCAAGGACATTAAAATGACATGTTCTTTGGAAATTAAGGTGCTGTTTCTATTCTGGCCACTGAGTAGCACCCTTGGTTCACTGAATCACTGCTGTCTCTGTGCCTGGAACTCTTTCAAAAAGGGCAGCAATCAGCACCTCTGTACTGCTTTCAGATTGATTATCTGGCAGAGCAGGTCTGAAGTCCCTTCCCTGGCTGGACGTCATTTGGTCCCTGCAATCTCTGCATGAGACTGTCTCCACTGTGAGGAGGAAGCTATCATTTCTAGGTTTAAAATTTGCCCATTCCCTTCCAGGATGGGAAGGCTTGGGATTGAGTGTGAGATGCCCATCATTCATGAGCTAGGAAGGCCAGTTCAGAATGGGGACGTGGGGTGAGCCTGGGAGGGAAGACAGAACCTGGAAGTGTTATTCACAGAATTTAGAAATGACTTTCCCAAGATCACGTAGCAAGTTTGTGGCAGAGCTGAGACTCAAACCCAAGTCTCCTAACTCTTAGCCTAGTTATGCTCATTCCACAATTCCACTGTATTCCCTAGGCAGGGAATGACCCCCAAACCTCCTGCATCTGTGTAGTGGGAAAAGCCCTGGAATGGGCATGAGAAGATTGGATTCTAAACCTCCATCTGTCACTGAACTAGCAGAATTACCCTGGGCAAGTCATTGAAATCAGCTGAATTCCTTCATCTGTCAAATGCTTGTCTGTTGTTCCTTCTGTATAACAAATAAATAACAAATAAATGGAACTAAACCAAACTAACTAACTAAACAAATAAAATGGGACTGCCAGTCTCACCAAGTTAGTGTAGGATCATGGGATGACAGGTAGGCTCATAGGCAGGCTCACTGAATTAGAATAGGAAGGAGTCTTAGAGCTGGATGTGAGGGTGTTTGGAGGATCTAAAATCAAAGATATTTCTATTTTGGGGAAACATTACAGGCAGATTATCTTGCTTTGTAAACAGCTTGGGGTTGGACGATAAACTTTGCCGAAGGGAATGCTGAAAACTGCACAGCTGCAAAACTCCAAGGCACAAAGGTTGACTCTGACTTAGGTCATTAACTCACATCTAAGGCACATTTATCTATATGGTCAAAGTGCATAGTTAAGAGCCATGCTGAGTCACATTCTAGAAACACAGGGTGAGTTAACATTTCCAGAGGCACTGACGGTACGCCAATGGATTAATCCAAGAGGGTATGGAATGGTATTGATCCTATTCTATATTTGTCCGGAGGGTGCCAGATAAGGGAAAGGGACCTGTGTGGGACCCAGGAGAGAATTTCTTCAGTCTCCCAGATGGAGAGTGGAGTCAAGGATCAGAACTTCCTGGGGGTGTTACCTTGATCCCAGCGTTGAACATGGTGAGAGCCACAGTGGTTCGCATCATTGCATTAGAGACACGACTTTTCTCAAGTATTCTGAAATAGGAGGGATCGAGGTCAGACATCAGGGAGAACTGCCCAACAGGGAAGGGGTATAAGAGGTGTTGAGATGGATAAGCTAGAGGAATGTGGGGAATAAGTCCTCTCTGAACCAGGGAAATCTTAAAGACTGAAGGGTTGTAATTCATATGGGCTATGGGCAATGCCCTTTTGGAAGGAGGGAGTTGGTCAGTTTAGGGCTGTTTGGGCAGAACCTGCTTAAATAAGAGTGGGAGGCTGGAGTAAGGGGACAAGAACTCTACCTGCTCACAATGGGTCCAAATATCCACAGGTTGCTAAAGACGATATTCAGTGGGAAGCCAAACTAAGAGGTGAAAGAGTCTGGTTAGCAGAATTTCCAGAGCCCAGTGCAAAGGGATTGGCACGTGAGGGTCAGGGTGTCTGAGGTCAGGATCTCCCAGTAATCTAGGTCTATATCAACAATGCATATTGGGGCCCCTGTGATCAGGGCCTGGCTGGGCTTTGTTGGCTCTGTGAACACTGGGAAATAATAAGCGTAAAGCTGTGATTACCCATCTGGGTTTGTCTGTCTGGTTAACGGACATGGTTAACGGACACGGTTATCTCCCAAGCAGCACACAGTAAGTTTGCATTGTTGGGTGTGGAGAAGGAATACCTCCCACCTGAGGTTCTGGATCAACCCGACATTATGGTATGGGCGTGGGAGATGGGGGGAGTGGACGGTGGGTCCCCTCAGCCATGGCTTAGTCCTAGACAAGGATGAAGGGAGGACGAAGGATTCTGCAGCCCCAGATGTTATAACCATCTTTTCCTCAGAAGAGAGCTCCTCCCCGTCCCTTGTTTTCTATGGCCTTCCCAGACCCATACCTGTCCTGCAAGCTGCTCTATCATGCTCTTCTCAGTCCCGTATCCAAACATATTAGGCATTGGTGTTTGCTCCAGCCTGAGAAAGACATGGTTCTCTCAGACATGCTGAGGGGCAGTGTGGGGGCATGGATAGGGTGCTGGACTAGAAGTCAGGAACACTTCCCCACTCTTGCCTCAGACGTTATCTATGTGACCACGAGCAAGTCACTTAACTGCCCCCAGCCTCAGTTTTCTCATCTGTAAAATGGAGACAATAATAGTACCTACCTCACAGGAGTGATGCGGGGATCAAATGAATGTCCTCAAGAACTTGGAAATAACACACAAAAATAAAAACAGAAAAAAGTCTTGCATAGCAAACAGCTTCCACTACTGAAGTTCCCTTGGTTCTGTTGTTAAACTTGTCTCTTCATTTACTTTTGTTCTTTCTCTCCTATCCCTTTAATCTGGTTTCTGATCATCTGCTTTGTATAACCTGATCCACCTCACCCTATCTACCTGGCTTGCCCCTGATTGAACCCACGCACAACCCCAAACAGACTGATCATTCCATTCTCAGTTTCTAGTTCTTCTTTATCACCTGGCATGACCTATGGTGCAGTCTTCCCAGGCCTGAAATGGGGAAAGCCTGGGTTTCCAGAGTAAGCCCTTGCTAAGGGTCCAAGGCAGGGAAGGACCACTCACCGGCTGATGGCTGCTGCAAGGATGCCAATGCTTGTCTCCTTCAGTGGGATCGATGAGTGGCCTGGAGTGGAGTCCACCTGTAGCTTGAGGTTCATGCTACCTTTCTCTGACACTGAAATCCTGGCAGGATAGAATCAAATTCAGTAAACCCTTATTAAATGCCAACTATGTGCAGGGCACTGAACTAGGCCCTGGGGAACTATAAAGTTTAGATCGGATACAAACCCTGACATTGAGGAGTTTGCAGTCTAGTAGGGGGATGTGACATATGCATAAATAACTACAATTACAAAATAGCACATAAATGAGAGGTTCAAGCAAAGTCTGGGTGGAGCGTATGGAAGATCGTTGCTAACCGGAGAGGAAGATCAGGGCAGGCTTCCTCAAGGAAGCGACAAGTCAAACCACCATCATCCTCTTGGCCACCATCCCTCTTCAGACCCTAATGAAGACAGTCTAGGACCCTGAACACAAGAGCCTCAGGAAAAGAAATGCTTCTGGCCCAGTGGCCTCAGCCATCATGCTTGGAATCAAATTCTGTGGAGATGCAGCCTGGCAACTGTTCCTGCAGGTGCTATGACCACAGCTACTGAAGACCCAGAAAAGAAAGTTCTTCCTACCAAAGTCCTTGGCACTGTCAAATGGTTCAGCATCAGAAAGTGAAAATGTCATCAAATAGTAGGCATTAACATCTGCTTTACCACTGTACCCTAAGGACCATGGGATTTTTCTACCTGATTTGGCAGCTGAAACCTTTCACATATTATCTCCTCCATCAGAATGTAGGCTCTTTGAGAACAGGGACTGCCTTACCTTTCCATTTGTCCCCTCAGGGCTTATCACAGTGCTTTGCACATAGTAGGTGCTTAATAGATACTTTATTCATTTGTGGAGTTGGGCTTTAAAGAATGGACAGGAACAATGCAAATGGAAAGAATGAAAAAGATCAAAAACAAACTGAAGCTGTGTATAATGACCAAATTTGGTCCAGGAGAAGAGCTGAGAAAATGCATGCCTTTCCCTTCTTTGGTGATGGGGACAATGAGTGTTGAATAGAGCATATATTATCTGATTTGTTTGATGTGTTGGTTGTTTGGTTGCTCCTTTTTTCACTTCTTTTTATTTTATATATGTATATATATGTATATATGTATATGTAGTTATATATGATTATTTTTATTTTTATGGCTTGATGGGTTGTAAAAACAGAAGTATCAATGGAAATTAAATAAATCAAATTAAAGCTCCTCCCAATAAAGAGTGGATGGAAAATCAACAGGCAATCGAGGCAAGTGGGAATGCCTAGGTTGGGCGCAGGGTATAGATACTAGTCTAGTCTGGCTAATGCATCATGTACATAAGGAGGAGTGGCATGAGAAGATTGAAAAGATAGGGTGGTACCTGATTGTAGAGGGCTTTGAATGCCAGGCTAAGGAAACTGAAATTTACTCAGTATACAATAGAGTGTTATTGAAAGGTTTTGGACAGAGAAATGACCTGACTGGAATCTGCCTGGGCTCCTTCTAAGGTTCTGATTGAGTGTCAGTTATGTGTTGTGTCAGTTAACCAGAACTCAGGTTGAACAATGAGATGGAATGGAAAGTCTTGAGCTATTGGACTCGAGGAGGGAAAGGCAGGAGAGAGCTAAAAGAAGATATGCCAGTATGGCCTAAAGCCTCTGGGCTCCAGGGGCAGAAGGAGATAGATAGAACCCCTTCAAGACAGGGTTCTGAGAAGACCAGCCCAATGGGAGGAGGGAGAAGTTGGGGTAATTTTACTCACACTGCAAAAGGTTTCTTGATGCCAGCCAAAAAGTCATTCATGATATAGCCTCCCTCATCTATGATGAAGGACAGCCGGACACCGCGTGACTTCAGTAGGGCTGCAACCTTCTGCGCTCCATGTTTCCCAGATACCTGCACGTATCACAGACCCAGACCCATGTCCCTTCCCAATCTGATTTCTAGAGGTGTGTGTGTGTGTGTGTGTGTGTGTAAGAAGAGGGAGGGCACATATAGTCTAGCATGGCAAATCCAAATCCTTCAGCACCCTCTTCATCTTGCAGAGGATGGGAGCTAGGTTTTGGAAGATTTTGCTTCTCACCCATCCCCTGGGAGGTCTGCTGTTGGGAAAGAAGCATGATGTTTTCACAGCGGAAGGACAAATAGAAATGGCTTAAGATCTAAGACCCTAGGGAACTCAACACCCTGGAGAGCCATCCTGAGTTCTTGGGGGCTCTGTTAATGGATTACCTCCTCATCATGTCCTAGGGAGATGTAGAAAGATCTTTGAGGGACATAGTTTCTTCTCAACAGCAGTTCCATGGCCTGCAGGATGGCCTGAAGGATAGAAGCAGAGAGGAAGGACAGGGAGGCTGTAAGGAAGAGCTGCTGGGAATAGTGAACCAGGAGAGTAACACCTTTCAGAAGCCCAGGTCAGATTTCCCCAGGATTAGGATTTGGAGATCAAAAAGCCACTCGACAGGATGGGCAAATTCACATTGCGTCAGAGCATTTGGGGCAGTTTCCAAGAGAATAAGGCCACTAGAAGAAGAGAGAACCCAGGGGATTTCCCTTGTTCTCTGGGAAAGTAAAAGATTCTCAACATTGGTCAAATGCCTGAATGCTCCCACCCTTCCACGCCCATTTTGGGTATTGTGAGGCGAACCATAGCAGAGTTTTTGTTGTCCAGTGTGCCCCGGCCGTAGATGAAGCCATCGCGCTCCAGCCCAGAGAAGGGTGGCACCTCCCAGTCATCGTCAGAAGCAGGTACAACATCCATGTGAGAGAGGAGCATGTAGGGCTCCAACTTGGGATTTGAGCCACGGATGGTGAACAGGTGGCTGTATTCTTCCACAATCTCATGCTGGATGAAGCTAGTGGAGAACATGGAAGGGAAGACTGGGGGGAAAGGAGAAAGAGGGAGAGATGAAGGTGGGGTGAGGGGAGAGAGAATGACAGACAGACAGAAAGAGAGAGGGGGGAAAGAAGAGAGAGTGAGAGAACAAGAGAGAGTGAGAAAGAGTGAGAGTGAGCAAGAGAGAGAAAGAGCAAGAGAGAGAGAATAACTTCTTTCTTTTTGGCCATCATACTCCATACAGTACCCTTCTTTTAAACTTTAGCTCAGGGCAATCACCTCTATGAAGGCTTCCTGGACTAATCATGTCCATTGTCTTTTTTTTTTAATTCAATTCAATTTTATTTTATTTTCAGTTCCAAATTCTCTCATCCCCTTCCTTCCACCTCCCTCACCAAGTAAGAAGGCAAGAAAAATAAAACCTATTAAAATATGTATAGATATGCAAAAAAATTCCATATTAGCCATGTTTCAAAAAAAAAAAGCAAGAAAAAGAAAGAAATAGAAGAGAATATACTTCAATCTGTACTCTGAGTCCATTAGTTCTCTATCTGGAGGTAGCATGTTTCATTATGACTCCTTTGGAATTATGGTCAGTCATTGTGTTGATAAGAGTTACTAAGTTTTTCAAAGTTGATTATCTTTACAATATTGTTATTGTATAAATTGTTCTTCTGGTTCTAATCACTTCACTTCGTGCCAGTTTATATAAGTCTTTCCATGTTTCTCTGAAACCATTCCCTTCTTCATTTCTTATAGCACAATAGTATTCCATCACGATCCAAACCATAACTTGTTCAGCCATTCCCTAATTGATTGGAATCGTCTCAGTTTCCAATTCTTTGCTACTACAAAAAGAGACGCTATAAATATTTTTATACATATAGGCCTTCTTCCACTTTTTTTGATCCCTTTGGGGTATGGACCTAGTAGTAATATTGCTGAGTCAAAGGGCATGCAATTTAATAGCTTTTTGGGCATAGCTCCAAATTGCTTTCTAGAATAGTTGGACTAGTTCACAGCTCTACCAACAGTGGAGGATCTATTTTCCCATATCCCCTCTAGCATTTGTCATTCTCCTTTTTTGTCATCTTAGCCAATCTGATAGATGTGAGGTAATGTGTGCATTTCTCTAATTATTAGTGATTTAGAGCATTTTTTCATGGCTATTGATAGCTTTGCTTTCTTCCTCTGAAAATTATCTATTTATGTTTTTTGACCATTTATCAATTGAGGAAAGGCTCATATTCTTTTGAATTTGACTCATTTTCCTATATATTTTAGAAATTAAACCTTTATCAGAAAAACTTGCTGCAAAGATTCTGCGCCCTGCCCACCCCATTTCCTGCTTTTCTTCTAATTTTAGCTGCAATGGTTTTGTTTGTACAAACCCTTTTTATTTTATGTAATCAAAATTAACTATTTTACCATCTGCGAATCTCTCTATTTGTTGTTTGATCATGAACTCTTCCCTTATCCATAGATCTGATACGCAATTTCTTCTATGAATTTTTGATGATTATAATTTTTTATGTCTTTTTATGTCTAAATCACGTATCCATTTTGAGCTTATTTTGGTATATGTAGTGTGAGATTTTGATCTATGCCTAGTTTCTGCCAGACCACAAAAAAAATTTCCCAACAATTTTGGTCAAATAGTAAGTTCTTGTCCCATCAGTTGAGATCTTTGGTTTTTTCTAACACTAGATTACTATGCTCATTTGCTTTTGTATATTGTGTAATTAATCTTTTTCATTGATCAATCTCTCTCTTTCTTATACAATGCCAAATTGTTTTGATGATTATAGCTTTGAGATCTGGTACAGCCAGTTCCCCTTTCTTCATCTTGCTTTTTTAAAAAATTGATTCTCATGATGTTTTTGACCTTTTGTTCCTCCAAATGAATTTTGTTACGATTCTTTTTCTAATTCTATAAAACAATTCTTTGATAATTTAGTTGGCATGGTACTGAATAAGTAAATTAATTCAGGTAGTATTGATACTTGTGTGTGGCAGGTTATTGTTTAGTTGTGTCCAACTTTTTGTGACCCCATAGACAGTATTATCCATGGGGTTTTTTTGGCAAAGATACTGGAGTGGTTTGCCATTTTTTTTATCCAATGGATTAAAACAAAATGAGGTTATGTGACTTACTTGGGGTCACCCAGCTAGTACTTATCTAAGGCTGGATTCCAGGCCCAGAGCTGTATCCACTGAGCTACTTAATTGTCTCCTATGTGACAAGTAGATTCCCCTAAGTATTTTATACTGTCTATAATTATTTTAAATGGAATTTCTTCTTCTATTTCTTACTGCTGGGTTTTGTTGGTAACATATGGAAATGCTGATGTTTTGTGGTGATTTATATCCTGAAACTTTGCTAAAGTTGTTAATGGTTTTGATTAGTTTTTTGTTTGACTCTCACTTCTTCAATGCCTATGCTTATTCTTTCAATATCTTTTTCTTTTCTTATTGTGATAGCTAACATTTCTAGTACAATATTGAATAATAATGGTTTTAATAGACATCCTTGCTCCGCTCCCCATCTTATTAAAAAGGCTTCTAGCTTATCCCATTGCAGATAATGTTTACTTTTGGTTCTACATCAGGGGTAGGGAACCTGTGGCCTTGAGGCCTCACGTGGCCCCAAAGTCCTCAAGTGCCACTCTTTGACTGAATCCAAACTTCACAGAACAAAGAGGTGGGAACTTGTTAATCTAGATACTACTAATCTAGATAGATACTACTTATCATTTTAAAGGAAACTTTATTCCTGAGCTAACTTTTTTTTTTACAAGAATGGTGGTGCATTTTGTCAAGTTTTTTCTCGTTAACTGAAATGATCATGTGATTTTTTTGGTTGCTAATATAGTCAATTATGCTTACAATTTTCCTAATATTGAACCAGCCTGCACTCCTGATATTAAATTCAGCCTAGTTGCAGTATATGATCTTTGTGATTTATTGCTGAAATCTCCTTGCTAGTATTTTAATTTTTTTTTTTTTGCATCAATGTTCATTAGGGTAATTGATGTATAGTTTTCTTTTTTTGTTTTGACCTTCCCTAGTTAAAGAAAGTATCAAGACCATATTTGTGTCATAAAAGGAATTTGGTAGGATTCTTTTTTTTTAACCTATATTTTTAAACAGTTTGTACAGCTTTAGAATAAATTATTCTTTAAGTTTGATAGAATTCACTTGTATTCTACTTCCTGTTCTGTCTGGGCAGTTTATAATTTTGTAAAATTCATCTATTTAATTAAGATTGCCAGTTTTAGGGGCAGCTAGGTGGTGCAGTGGATAGAGCACCAGCCTTGGAGTCAGGGCGACCTGAGTTCAAATCTGGCCTCAGACACATAATACTCACTCAGTGTGTGACTCTAGGCAAGTCACTTAACCCCAATTGCCTCACAAAACAAAGGCAAAAAAAAAGATTGTCAGTTTTATTGGCATACAGCTGGGCAAAATAGTTCTTAATAATTGTTTTTATTTCATCTTTATTGACTGTAGATTCACTTTTTTCACTTTTGATAATTAGTAATTTGGTTTTCCTCTTTTTAAAAATCAAATTAGTCAATGGTTTATCCATTTTATTATTTTTTTCCTAAAAACAAAACATCGAGATGTTTTATTCATTCAATGTTTTTATTTTTTTTCTTTCAACTTTGTTAATCTCTCTTTTGATTGTCAGAATTTCTATTTTAGTGGTTTTGTTTTATTTTTTGGTTAGGCAACGTGGTTAAATGACTTGCCCGGGGTCACACAGCTAGTGAGTGTCAAGTGTCTGAGGTCAGATTTGAACTCAGGTCCTCCTGACTCCAGGGCCAGTGCTCTATTTGCTGTGCCACCTAGCTGCCCCCTATTTTAGTGTTTAATTGGGGATTTTTAATTTGTTAGTTGCATGCTCAAGTTTCTCTCTGTAATATATTTTATACATTTTCCACTAAGTACTGCTTTGGCTATATCTCACCAATTTTGGTATGTTGTTGTTATCTTTGTAATGAAATTATTGATTGTTTCTATGATTTGTTCTTTGACCCACCTATTCTTTAGAATGAAGTTATTTAATTTCTAATTAATTTTTAATCTGTGCTGCAAAGGTTCTTTATTGAATGTGATTATTATTGCATTATGGTCAGAAAAGATATATTTAATATTTCAACTTTTCTGAATTGAATTTGCTTGTAGATTTTTATGCTTATGGTCAATTTTTTTGAAGGTGACATGTATAGTTGAGAAATAGGTATACTCCTTTCTATTTCCATTCAATATTTTCCAGAGGTCTACTATATCTAACTTTTCTAAAATTCTCTTCATCTCCTTATCTTCTTTCTTGTTTATTTTATGGTAAGATTTATCTAAATCTGATAGGGGTAAATTGAGGCTCCCCTCCCCCACTATTATAATTTTACTATTTCTTCCTGTAAGTCATTTAACTTTCCCTTTAAGAATTTAGATATTATGCTATTTGGTGCATGTATGTTCAGTATTAATATTAATTCATTCCTATGGTACCTTTTAATAAAATGTGGTTTGCTTGTTTGTCTCTTTTAATTAGGTCTGTTTTTGCTTTTGTTTTGTCTGAGATTACCCCTGCCTACTTTCACTTCATCACCTGAAGCCTAACAGATTCTGCTATAGCTCCTTATTTTAACTCTATGTGTCTTTCTGTTTCAAGTGTATTTCTTGTAAACAATATTATATCGGATTCTGGTTTCTTATCCATTTTGATATCATCTTCCATTTTGTACATGAGTTTGCTAACTGTGAATTTCCCTCCACCCTATTTTATTAAACATATCCTCTCTCTCTCTGTCTCTCTCTCAACTCTTCTCTTATTCTGACCACCTTTTAAGAGTCTGTTTTGCACCTGATCACTGTCTCTCCTAATCTACCCTCCCTGTTGTTCTAGCCCTCTCTCCCTTTTTTGGAACCTCTTTCCTGTTGGGTAAGCTGAATTTCTGTACTGAGTTCTATGTATGTGTATTCTCCCTCTTTGAACCAGTTTAGACGAGTGTGAGGTTCAAATGTTGCTCAACTCCTCCTCCCTGCATTGCTGCCTCTTTTGAATAAATTCTTCCTTTTAAGCCCTATTTATGTGAGCTAATTTCCCCCAATGTTTTTTGTCTCTTTTTCCCCCTCTCCCCAACCTTCCATTCTTCTTTTGAGATCATCTAAATATACCAGATTCACACATAGGCTCCAATACATTCTGAAGAGTTACATGTATCATACATCTCCAAGTTCATTTTTCAACCTGCTAGCACCCTCTATTACTTTACATCTTCTCCTTTTTAATTGCATAACAATGTTTCTGATAAAGAATGCCTGTCAGAACTCTCCTATTAAATTTCTACATTTGATGGGATCAACTTATTATTATTTAAACATAAAGCTGTAGGATTTTACATTTGTAAAGGACCTTGAAGATTGTCTAGTCTAACACCCTAATTTACAGATGAGGAAACTGAGGTTCAGTGAGGGGTGGTCAGAGATTCAAACTTAGGCCCTCTGACTCTAGATTCCATGTTCTTTCTACCACACCACACTACCTGATGTATCATGGGCAACTAACTGGTAGAGTGCTATAGGCACAATGACTGGAACATAGTAGGACCTTAATAAATACTTGTTGACTGACTTGTAGATGACAAATAAATAAGAGTACCAACGACTGTATCCAGAACCTTTGGAAACAGGTTTGACCTTAATATATACAAATCCAAGGAGTTCAAAGTGTTGTCTCAGGATCTTTTCCTGAGCTCAAAGGCAGTTCTCTAGGATATAGACATCTCAAACGATGCTTTTTGTAAACTAGGTCATATAGGAACTCCAGTGGCTCCATGATTTCAATGTTATAAGTACTCTCTCCGATAGTGTCTATTACAATCCATCTATCCCCACCCATTTTGTGCAACTCTTGTTCACAATCGTCTACAAATGAGACATGGGATCCACTCACTGCTGTGGTTCCCTTGAATTACTGGCCTGCTGGTCTTTTTCTTTATTCTCTTCTTTTTTATTCCCTACTCATTTTATTTTTCAGTTTATTTTCTCTCTCTTCCCTCGAATAAAAAAAAAAGAAAGAAGAAAAAAAAAAAAACAAATCCCTTCCAATAGATGTGCATAGTCAAACAAAAGGAATTCCTGCATTTGGCCTTCTAGTCTTCCTTGATCTTCCAAAGAGGAAGAAAACAGGACTTCTCTTTCTTTTCCTGATTCTCCCCCCAACCTTTGCACCTAGACTAGAAACAGGAAACTCTTCGTCATTAGGGGCAGTGCAGGGGACTAGTCCCATCAATTGGTCTTGTAAATCTGGAGAAGAAGAGAGTGTTCACCCTTAGCATGAGGTATACCTCAAAGGAAATGGTGACACAACTCACTGTTAAGAAATGCCTTTGGGTTATGTCTTTAGGTTGTTCTAGTTGGCTTCCTGACAAGCAGAACTGGGGCAAAGAATGGAGAAAAACTCCAAACATGTGATAATCCTTCAAAGACCAAAAGGACCAACTTCTGATCTTTCTCACCTCCCCCCATGATGAACAGGAGTAATTCCCACCAACCCAGCCTCTCTCTATCTCCAAGGTAAAAATTTACCCAAAGAAAATGCACTCTTCTGGGCTAGTCAAGAGTCAAAGGTCATGATCCATCCTGGACCAGGGACCTTGGGCAATCAGCTCTGAAAAGGGGCAGAGTCTTAAGAGCAGTGGCCCTGTTCCTATCACTTCCACATCTGGAGCTGTTCATTCTGTTACCTTTCCGAAGGTGTTCCCCAAACTCAGTCAGGGCTGTGGTGTTGATGTTCTCAGAGCTGAAAGCCACTGTGGGTATCCGAATTGCTTCTGTTGGGAGTTGGAAGAACAAAAATCACAGGTTAAAATTCACTAATAGGATTTCAAGTGGAAAGATTTATTTTCAGCGATTTTTGTCCAGTTCCTTTATCTCAAAGTTGAGGAAAATGGGGCCTGGAGATTGGAAGTGATTTAAGAGTTCTCTAGTGTCAGAGCCAGGATTCCAAGCCAGTATCTTCTGATTTTAAATTGAACACACCTTCCATTAGACCATGCAGTTTCTTCTGTAGAAACACCTAGTAGAGGGTCTGTGAACATACTTTCAGGTTCATGATCAGTCATTCTATTCTTGTCCCCAACTTCCTGAGTGATACAAAGAACTCTGTACCAGATGTTAAGAGTGGAGTACAGTGTGATGTAGTAGAAAGGTGGCTAGATTTGAAGTCTGAGGACCTGGGTTCAAATTCTGGTTCTGACATTTACAAGCTGTGAAACCCTGGGCAAATCACTTCAAGTCATTGGGACTGTGAGAAATGAAAGAGTGAAGTTTCCACATAAGTACATAAGAAATCAGCACAGACAGGCTAACTTCTCCGTGGGGGGGGGGGGGGGGGTGACAACACAATTCTAGGCACATAATGTATGTTTAGGGTGGGGCATATAAGGAGCTTTGTAACCCAGAAGGATTAGGACCAATCCTGATCCAGAAGGAAGAGTTAGGCAATTACTAACTATAAAGCTTGCTTTCCTCACACACTCTCCCCTTCAAAGGAGGTGTGCCTGCTTCTCAGGAGAATCCAAAGGACTGACTTCAACCTCTTTAATAAAAAGTCTTTGAGACACTAGTCTTCAGAACTGAGTCCAGGGTCATCTTTATAACAGGCCTCACTGATCTCTTCTGTAATATGACGAGGTTGGACTAATGATCTTAAGGTCCATCCTGGTTCCAGCTCTCTGACTCTGTGATCCTATGAAATAGAAGACTGGGGAGCTAATGAACCTTGGGCACTGACTATGAGATCAACATAGATCTAAATACCCACTGGCCCACTCAACCACAGAATTAGAAGGGACTCCCACGGCCACATAGCCCAATCCGTAGCTGAAGGAAAAAAAAAATTAATACCCTACTCTTTGTTTTAGGCACAAGTTGACCAGAAACAATTTTGTTTAATTTAACATTAATATCCAAGCATTTCTAGTTTGGAGAGAGAGATGTCTAAACTGATGCAGCACTCCCTTTCCCTCAGTACTGTCCAACATGTCTCTACCCCAAGATGACTTGAGGTAAAGAAATCTAGAAGGAGGAGGAAGAGGAAGAGAAGAAGGAAGAGAAGAACTTGCAATTGTTAATGGGTTAACATTCCAGAATAATTGAATAACAAAAGTCAGGATCCTATTCCAGGGATCAGTCCCTTCAAGGATTAAAAGGGACTCCACCCTTTAGACCAAAGTGATGAGGACAGGATGTGGACTCCAGAAAGAAAAAGCCCTGGACTTTCCCACAAGGCCAAATCTCTTGCTTGAGTTGTATAGGCTGAGGCTATAATCCCATCAACTGGCCTTTCATTGTGGCTCTGCCCAATCTCTGTTACCCTCAACCTAGCCTGGCCCTCCATTGTCTTACCTCCCTATGGCCCCCCTCCTCCCCACCTCCACTTCCCACCTTTAATGCCAGCTAGGTTCCATTCTCCCTTGGCCACGTGGTCGAGGTCCCGGAGTCCTATCACCTAATAGACTACTTGGCCATTCCCAGATCCCTCTCATGGTCTTTCTGTATATAAGGTCCATCTTGTCTGCATTAAGATCCTCGGATTCTTATAGTTTAGCCATTGCTCAGATTCTTATAATTTAGCCAAAGGCTTAGATTCTCAAAATCTAGCCAATAGCTTATTAATAATGTGCAGATTCCTTAAGAGTCTGCCCAATATGACGGATGTTCTAATAAACTTTGTCTCTGGCTGAAAGAAGGCTTGGGTCGAAATCTTTTGGGCAGGACCCACACGTTGTGATTTTGGGGTCCCAGAACCCCTAAACCTCATCAAAAATACCTATTCAGAATTTTTTTATGAATAATAAACATTTGACTGATATGTCAGCCAATAAACATTCATTAAATGCCTACTATATGCTAGGTTATTATGGCAAGTGATGGGGATACAAAAAAGTTAAAAGACAAGTCTTTACTTTCAAGGAGTTCACAATCTAATGGAGAAAACAACATTTAAACAAGTATGTACAAACAAGCTATGTACAGGATATATTGGAAATAATAAACAGAAGGAACTAGAATGAAAGAGGATCAGAAAAGGCTTCCTTTAGAAGGTGGGAGTTCAGCTGGGTCTTGAAGGAAGCCAAGGAAGTTGGGAGGTAGAGGTGAGAAGGGAGAACATTCCAGGCTAGATACTAGTCAGTGAAAATGCTTGGAGTGAGGAGATAGTGTCTTGTTTGAGGAACAGCAAAGGGGCTGGAATCCCTTTCCCTTTGAATGGAATAGAGAATTTCCTAGGGTGAGTCTGCTTCAAGTATTGGGGAAGGTAAGAGCCTAAATAAGACAAATTACAGTGTCCACACTTAATCTATTCCCTTATGAAAAAGTCTTTTTATCTTTGTCATTCACCTTTCCAAGTAAGGCAAATCCGGAAAAGATTTTAGATCAGAATTAATATTTTTAAAACCTTTTCAGTCTTGCTAAAATAGAGGTTTTCAATATTCTTCCGCACAACAGAAGGCATTCTTGGCTATGTGTAATCATGAAACCATGCTGACTGGGCTCACTACAAATTTATAATACATAATCTCAACGAGGCCCTCATTGAAGCAAGGCAATCCCTGATGAGCTCACTCTCCCATTCTCCAAAGCAGCTCTTCCAAACCTTTTCATCCCTTCTGGAACTGCCCATGCCTCTCTCTCTCCCTACCCTCCCAGCTGAGAACCTAACCTCATATTTCACTGAAAAAAATTTAGGCCATTGAAAGAGAGCTCCTTCAACCCTGTTCCTCATCTCATGTCACTCAGAAGCCTTCTGCCACCATTTCCTCCTTCACTCCTGTCTCACACGAAGAGGCCCCTCTCCTTACCAAGACAAATCCTCTACAGGCACTAATGTTCCCATTCTATTCCATCTTCTCTAGCTGATCCTGTCCTTCATCATTTCCACCCTTTCACTTATATTTGATTTCTCCTTGTCTACTGACTGCTTCCTTGCTGCTTACAAACATGTCCTTGCCTCTCCAATGAACGCTTCTCTTGATCTGTTTATTTCCATTAGCTAACATCTCCTAGAACTTCTCTCTTCTGGCTAAACTCCTTGAGAAAGCTGCAATAGGTGCCTCCACTTAATTTCCTCTCATTCTCTTTAACTCACTACAGTCTGGCTTCAGTCTCATTGTTCAATCAAAACTGCTCTCTCCAAAGTTACTAATGATTTCTTAACAGCCAGATCTGGCCGGTAAGGGCCCTGGAAATCCCCCCCCAGAACTTCCTTGAACTTTCCCACATGGTCAAGTCTCTGGTGTTCGCCTAAGGCATCTACCCATCCCAGTCAAGAAGCCTTTCATTGTCTGCACCTGGCCCTACCCTAGACCTCCACTCCTAGATCCCATCTACACCCCAGTCTCCCTTGGCCAAGTGGTCCAGGTCCCTGGTGTTCCCTGTCCTTCTCTGTTACCTCCCAGTCACCCCAGACTACTTGGCTACTCCTAGATCCCTCCCATGGTCTTTCTATATATAAGATCATCTTGGCCTCCATTAAGGTGCTCAGATTCTTAAAATCTGGCTAAGGTGCTCAGATTCAATCTGGCCAGCTTGCATCAGTGATACAAATGTTCAGATTCCTTAAGAGTCTGGCCAATATGGCGGATTCTTAAAATCTCACCAACCCTTGATCAATGATTTAATAAACCTTGTCTTTGGCCGAAAGAAGGCTAGGATCGAATTCATTTGGGCAGGACCCGTGTGTTGCTATTTTGGGGTCCCAGCACCCTTAAACCTCAACATTTTCAATGGCCTTTTCTCGATTTTCATCCCTCTCTGCAGCCTTAGGTGCCATCGATCACCCTCTTCTCCTTGATACTCTCTTCTCTCTAGGTTTTTGGTCCCTGGCTCTCTCCTGGTTCTCCTACTACCTGCCTGACCATTACCCAGTCTCCTTTGCAGGATCTTTAGCTAGGTCATGGCTCACTAACTGTGGGTGTCCCACAGGGTTATGTTCTGATCCCTCTTCTCTTCTCCCTTTATATTATTTCACTTGGTGATCTCATCAGCTCCCATGGACTCAATTATCATCTTTATGCTGATGAATCTTGAATCTACTGGTCCAGCCCTAACTTCTCTCCTTAAGTCCAGACTTGCATCTCCAACTATTAGATATCTCAAACTGGATGTCCTATAGCCATCTGAAACTCAACATATCTAAAATTGAACTCATCATCTTTCCCCCAAAACCTTATCTTCTTCCTAACTTTCTTGTTCCCATCTAGGATATTAGTATTCTCTCAGTCACCCAAGTATGTCAACATGGGTGACATCCTGAATCCTTCATTCTCTCCTTCTCCATATCTAATCAGTGGCTAAGTCCTGTCATTTCTACCTTACTAACATATCTCCTATATCTGCCTTCTTCTTTTCTCTGATACTGCAACCTCCCTGATACAGTCTGTCATCACCTTAAGCCTGAAATATTGCAGTAGTACCCCACTGGTCTCCCTGCCTCAAGTCTCTCCCACCTCTAATCCATCTTCCACCTAACTGTCAAAGTGATTTTCCTAAAGCACAGACCTGACAAAGTAGTAGAGTATTCCATATGGGGTCTGACCATGGCAGAATACAGTAGAGTACTCTTGATTCTAGACACTGCTTCTCTTAACGCAGCTTAGGATGACAATCACTTTCTTGGCTTCCATAGTAACACCATTGGCTCATATTGAGCTGGTAAAGAATATAAACCATCAAAGCCCCCAGGAACTGTTGTTTAGCCACACATCCCTCCTTCCGTACTTTTGAAATTAATTTTTTTTAACCAAGTGTAGAACTTTGCATTTATTCCTAT